GCCTGTGGGACCCCGGAAGCTGCTGATGGGTACTGGCAGTCCAAGCGACATGCGGCTCGGGTGGTCGCTGAGGCAAAAACTCGGGCATGGGAGGAGTTTGGAGAGGCCATGGAGAATGACTTCGTACAGCTTTGAGGTGATTCTGGTACACCATCCGGCCTTTCAGGGGGGGAAAGCGGTACGCCACCAACACCGTTTATAGTGGGAGTGGTCCGCTGCTGACCTCAACTCGGGATGTCGTGGGTCGGTGGGCAGAATACTTTGAAGACCTCCTCAATCCCACCGGCACGACTTCCACTGAGGAAGTGGAGCCTGGGGACTCTGGGTCGGGCCCTCCAATCTCTGGTGCTGAGGTCACCGAGGTGGTTAAAAAGCTCCTCGGTGGCAGGGCCCCAGGGGTGGATGAGATTCGCCTGGAGTTCCTTAAGGCTCTGGATGTTGTAGGGTTGTGTTGGCTTACGCGACTCTGCAATATTGCGTGGACATCGGGGGAAGTTCCCCTGGATTGGCAGACTGGGGTGGTGGTCCCCCTATTCAAAAAGGGGGACCGTAGAGTGTATTCCAACTACAGGGGGATCACGCTCTTAAGCCTCCCTGGTAAGGTCTATTCGGGGGTTCTGGAGAAGAGTAGAGCAATAAGTCGGACTTGTTCCCGGTGAGAGTTGGACTCCGCCAAGGTTGCCCTTCGTCACCGATTCTGTTCATAACTTTTATGGACAAAAAGTCAAAAGGCAAAACTCTCAATTTACCGATAGATCTACGTTTCCACCCTCATCTATGGTCATGAGCTTTGGGTTGTGACCGAAAGAACGAGATCTCGGATACAAGCGGCCAAAATTAGTTTTCTCCGCAGGGTGTCTGGGCTCTCCCTTAGAGATAGGGTGAGAAGCTCAATCATCCGGGAGAGACTCAAGTAGAGCCGCTGCTTCTCCACGTCGAGAGGAGTGTGGTGAGGTGGCTCAGGCATCTGTTTAGGATACCTCCTGGACGCCTCCCTGGTGAGGTGTTCCAGACACGTCCCACCGGGAGGAGGCCCAGAGGAAGACCCAGGACATGCTGGAGGAACTATGTTTCTTGGCTGGCCTGGGAACACCTCGGGATTCCCCCGGAGGAGCTGGACCAAGTGGTTGGGGAGAGGGAAGTCTGGGCCTCCCTACTTAGGCTGCTACCCCCGCAACCCGACCCCGGATAAGCGGAAGAAAATGGATGGATAAATGGATATATATATATATATATATATATATATATATATACACACATACAGTATATATATAGAGAGATAGATATGTGTGTGTATCTATCTATAGATCTATCTATAGATCTATCTATCTAGCTATCTATATCTATATATCTATATCTATATATCTATATATATATATGTATCTATATCTATCTATCTATCTATATCTATATATATATATATATATATATATATATATATATATATACATGTGTGTGTGTGTGTGTATGGCATGGAGTCAATCAATCTGTGGCACCGTTCAGGTGTTATGAGAGCCCATGTTGCTCTGATAGTGGCCTTCAGCTCTTCTGAATTGTTGGGTCTGGAGTATCACATCTTCCTCTTCACAACACCCCATAGATTTTCTTTGGGGTTAAGGTACTGGTAGCTTTGGCACTGCGTGCAGGAGCCAAGTCCTGTTGAAAAATTAAAATCTGCATCTTCATAAAGTTGGTCAGCAGCAGGAAGTACTCTAAAACTTCCTGGTAGATTACTGTGTTGATCTTGAACTTGAGAACACAGTGGACCAACACCAGCAGATGGCATGACATCTCAAACCATCACTGACTTTGGAAACTTGACACTGGACCTCATGCAACATTCATTCATTCAACCTTTATTTAGACAGGCAAATCCCATTGAGCCTCGAGGACTCATTTACAAGAGAGATCTGATTTCAACAAAGAAAGATGACAATGGACAACAGCAACAACAATAAACAATTATAAAAAGTAATACTGCAGGTTTTTTTTTTTTTACCAAATATGATGGCTAAAAGAAAAAGGTAACAAAAATAAATAAATAAATAAAATAAAAAAAACAGCTAGATTCTAAGGCGAATGTAGAAAACTAACAACAGGAACATGTCTGCATTGGTCCCTGCCAGGAGTCCAACAGATTCTTAAAGCCACTTAGAGAGGTCAAGGTCGAGAGCTTCAGATCTTTTTGTAAGATATTTCAGGAAACAGGAGCGGAGTAGGAGAAGGCCCTTTTGCCTAGTTCAGTCCTCATTGAGGGAACACTGCAGGTAATAATGTCCTGAGAGCGCACTCCGTAGCTGCACTCACGCAGAGACATGTAGGAGGAGATGTATGAAGGCAGCAGACCAAGAAGTGATTTAAAGATGAAAATGTACCAGTGAGAGATTTGGATGGATTCTGTGCCTCTCCTCTCTTCCTCCAGACTCTGGGACCTTGATTTCCAAAGAAAATGCAAAATTGACTTTGATCAGAGAACATAACTTTGGACCACTCAGCAGCAGTCCAGTCCTTTTTGTCTTTAGCCCAGGCGAGATGCTTCTGACACTGTCTCTTCAAGAGTCGCTTGACACAAGGAATGCCGCAACTGAAACCCATGTCTTGCATACGTCCGTGCGTGGTGGTTCTTGAAGCACAGACTCCAGCCGCAGTTCACTCTTTGTGAATCTCCCCCACATTTTGGAACGGGTTTTGATTCACCATCCTCTCCAGGGTGCGGTCATCCCTATTGATAGTATACTTTTTAAAAGCACATCTTTTCCTTCCCTTCACCTCTCTATTAATGTGCTTGGACACAGAGCTCTGTGAACAGCCAGCCTCTTTAGCAATGACCCTTTGTGTATTGCCGTCCTTGTGCAAGGTGTCAATGGTCGTCTCTTGGACAACTGTCAAGTCAGCAGTTTTCCCCATGATTGTGTAGCCTACAGAACTATCAGAAGATAACTGATCTTCTGCAGCCATATGTCCCACCACGCTCTCTGAGGTCAGCAGACCAGATGCTTCTCTCAGTCCCAGAAACCCGTCGTAAGCTCAGAGGTGACAGGGCTTTCTCTGTTGCAGGTCCACGACTGTGGAATGAGTTGCCACTGAGTGTCCGGCAGGCTCCCACACTCTCAGTCTTTAAGTCTCGCTTGAAGACCCACTTCTATTCTCTTGCCTTTAACACGTTGTGATTTGTTTTGGTCCGGTCTGTTCTCTACTCTGTTGGCCATTTTAGTTAGCTCCTGCTGCTATTTGTATCTGTATTTCTATTTTATGTTTTCCTGTCCGCTGTGCATGTTTGTTTTCTTTTGTACAGCACTTTGGTTGGCCTTGTTGCTGTTTTAAGTGCTCTATAAATAAATTGGTATGGTATGGTAACTAGACTGAGAGACCATTTAAAGGCCTTTGCAAGCGTTTTGAGTTAATTAGCTGATTAGAGTGTGACACCAGGTGTCTTCAATATTGAACCTTTTCATAATATTATAATTTTCTGAGATACTGAATTTGGGGTTTTCATTAGTTTTTGGGTATAATCATCAACATTAAAAGAAATAAACATTTGAAATATATCAGTCTGTGTGTAATGAATGAATATAATATACTTTCATACCGGACCCAGTAATTCGTGTGAACAGATAATTAAACATTATGTACAAATACTCTAACAGAATAAATTGTATGCAAACAGATTTCTAAGTTCTTTCAACATTATATCCAAATGATGATTTTATATCCATAAAGAAACCAACCACACCGATCTGCTCCTGACAGAGATCACAAACAGCAGAGAGTTTGTTCAGCATTTCAGGTGTTTTACTCACAAAATAACTAAAAATCAGACCGACACATTAGTGTGACCCCATGTGTTTTGCATCAACAGAAGAGGACTGATCATCACAAAACCACAACACTTTCAATGGCGTACAAAAGGACTGATGGTCAGTAAATATGTCAAAAACCTGCAGGTTTTAGTTTCATTTCCTCTACACTTCACATTTTAACCCGTGCACTTATGGCTCCTTCTGAATCTGGAGCAGATAGCCAAATGGAATAAATCTACTTGAACCCTTTTCTGTATTAAAAGAAGTGACAAGAGTCCAATATCACATGTAAAAATATCATTTCTACAAATTGCACTTTTCTCAAAGTAAATTAGAACTACATTATAACTCTGTAAATAACACGATTTTAAAAGCAGCAAACTGCAGGAGCCACAAGTCAAATGCATCAATTTCAACAGAATAAAACAAAAACATGTCACAAATATTTAGTGGTTACTATCCCAAAACCAAGAAAAATACATGGGCCAAAACCAAATAAATTGGGTTCAGAGCTCCTTTGAAGACATGATTTGCAAACAACGAGCAGTGTGTGATCACATTTTGTGCTAACAAGGATCAAACATTATTGCATTTAAATGCTGCCCCAAAAAAGCCGTTAGTTTTCCTGAATGTTCTCTGAGGGTTGAACCAAGAGATCAGCTTCATGGAAATGAATTATACCAACATTCTTGCCCACCAGCACACCCAGACAGCTGCATGATTTCTGCAACTTTATTATTACTGCAAACTAAATGTGTGTTAAGATATTTGTGATGTATGGAAGAACTTTAACCCCAAAATGACAAAGTTACAGATTCTCTTTCTTCTGGCTGGTGTTTACTCACTTATAACAAAAATCAGATTGTCTATAACAGAGCATTTAAAAAAAAGATCATCAAAAGCCAGTTTGGCATAAAACGCCAAAAACTTTTGTTTACTGCTGACATGAGTGTCTTTTTAAGATGTATGACCTCAGTCGAAACACCTTAGGTTAGGGTGGACAACACACACAGTCACACACAATCAGTTTCACTTTTTAACAAACAGATACTTGAACATAACTGAAATCAAAAATGACCAAACATATCAAATAAATTTACGTTTGAATGGAAACCACCTTGCTTTGCTGCTTCGATGTTGCAGCAATAAACCGGTTCAGCAGCAACACGCTCACAACTCTCTGTGCTTTTAAATGACAAGTTGGACAGAGTGGCCAAACACAAGTTTAAATGTAAAACGTCAAAGTTTAAAATAACTCTGCATGTTCTCACACGGTCTCATCTGGAACAAACCCGTCTTTAACCCCGAGCGCTCTCAGGAAGTTCGAGTTAAAGACGAGGGTTAAAAATGGCACCTGGTCCGTAGTTGTCCCGCCTGCTCGGGTAGCGTTTTACCAATGCCTCGAGTCCACCAGCTCAGGACGCAGGCTCAGTTTTTTCAGCGCCTCGTAGCCGACAACCATGACGATGGCAGTGGGTGTGGATGAAATGATGCGTGCCGACAGTCCTTTGGTTAATCCCCAGAAGCCCTCCTCTTGGATCAGCTGCCTGAACGTCTCGATGACTGAAGCTCTCCCTTCAACCTAAACCAGCACAACGCGGTCTTATTATTTAAACCACAAACCAGAACAAACCAGTCTCAATCTGGCTGACAGACTGAATTATACATTGTTGTTTTGTATAACGTGTACAATTTCCACATTTTGTTCAATCAACTACATTACAGTGAAAAATAATCAGTTTTCAAGATGCCGTTTAGAAATGCTGACAGTCCTTGTGATGAGTAATCATGAGAAAACATTTTGTCATCTTTTTGTTCTCATTTTTTTTTATCAATCTTAATTTTAAATGACATAACAAACCAGTAATAATTTACAACATGGTTGTGTTAAGCTTTTCTCGAATAAAAACATTTGCTTGCACTAAAAATACTAGGGGCGGCTGTGGCTGAGTGGTTAGAGCAGTCGTCCTCCAGTGGGAGAGTTGGAGGTTCGATTCGTATGTTGAAGTGTCCCTGGGCAAGACACTGAACCCCTCATTGCCTCCCATGTGTGTCCCATCAGTGTATGAATGTGATCTAACACTGATTAGTCTCTTAACTATGATTTGTGAAAGCTCTTTACAACACAATCTGTGTCCTCATTTACCATTCATACAGTACTCTACTAGATCTGTACAAGACTAATCAGAGCTTATCACATTCATACACCGATGGGACACACATCAGAGGGAATGAGGGGTTCAGTGTCTTGCCCAGGGACACATCAGCATGTGACTGTTGGTGGAATCGAACCCCCAACTCTTGCATTGGAGGACAACAGCGCTAACCACTCAGTCACAGCTGTCTCTAAATGCTGCTGCTAATGACCTAATACCATCCTCCACACAGTGTTTTTATTTCTTTATTTCATTTTTGTATTTTCTCCTTGAAACAGTACTTTTACTTTTTGGAACAAGACAAGAAAAGCTTCCTGATATACAGTGAGGAAAAATAAGTATTTGAACACCCTGTGACTTTGCAAGTTCTCCCACTTAGAAATCATGGCAGGGTCTGAAATGTTCATCTTAGGTGCATGTCCACTGTGAGAGACATGATCTAAAAAATAAAAATCTGGAAATCACAATGTATGATTTTTTTAATGATTTATTTGCGTGTTACTGCTATAAATAAGTATTTGAACAGCTGCCAGTCAGCAACAGTTCTGGCCCTCAAAGACCTGTTAGTCCTCCTCTATAACGTCCACCTCCACTCCACTTATTATTCTGAATTTGAAGCACCTGTTTGAGGTGGTTAGCTGCATAAAGACACCTGTCCACCCCACACAGTCAGTAAGACTCCAACTACTAACATGGCTGAGACCAAAGAGCTGTCCAAAGACACCAGAGACAAAATTGTAGACCTCCACAAGGCTGGAAAGAGCTACGGGGCAATTGTCAAGCAGCTTGATGAAAAAAGATCAAGTGTTGGAGCAATTATTAGAAAATGGAAGAAGCTAAACATGACTGTCAACCTCCCTCAGACTGGGGCTCCATGCAAGATCTCACCTCGTGGTAGTGATGGCCAAATGAAGCAATAAAGCAGTATTGAACCACTTTGCCAATTGTATTGAACTTGGGTTCATTCATTCAAAGGTTCATTTCAGTGACATCTAGTGGTGTAATATAGTATATATTTATGTATATTTAAATATAGGGTCCGTGTGTCCTCCCCCAGAAAAAATTGGAATAAAAGAGATGCCATTTCCTGCATTTTGGTGTATTTTAACAGTTTGTTAAACATTTGAATAAACTGGTTAAAAAGAGGTCTCTCTTGACGAGGCTCAAGGCTAAACCTGTATAAATAAAGGTTGAATTGAAATTACTATTTTAGAGAGCAACAATTAACAAGCCTGTGTGTGAACGCACATCCTTGACAATCTGTCAGGTGTCCTAACCCCCCCCCCCCACCCACACACACACACACACACACACACAGCCAACCTGAACTCTTCTCAGCTGAATTCAGTCCTGTGTGTTCTGCTCCAATCTCACTGCCATCCGTCCATTTATTTTAGATAAATTGTCTTTTCAACATTTTGGTCGCTTTGACTAATTAGTGCTGTTGTTTTGATACTTGATGTAATACACATCAAACATTTCACTCCTTTTTTCTTTTTTTACTGTAAGCTTATTTATTCTGTCTGAAATGTTATGCACTGTAATGTATGCAGGAGTTCCGACAGCAGTTGTGCTTGCGTCCTGCAGAGTTGTCTGGAGACGCTGTGCGTAAAACACCTGTCTCAGGGCGCACAGCTGGAGGAGGATGAAGACGCTCCCTGCAGGACATGCAGTCCGTGTCTCTGCTGGCAGGAGCGTGGCGCGGACAGAACATCCACTCGTACTTTTAATAAATAATCAAAATAAAAATGCGCAATGACTTTGGACTTTTAGGGGCGGAGTTGGCGGATCTGAGCGGTCAAAATGATAGAGTTCCAGGATCTTGTTCTGACAGGATCCGACTCAAATGAACCACTGTCTGAATATAAAAAACAAGAGCTGTTTGTAAAGTATAATACGTGAAGAACGGGGATGTGAACCGGGGCTTGAGCATCTTAAATACACTGAATCGCGCCAAATGATTGAAACTCCACCTGTCAACTCGAAGCAGTCAGCTGACTCGGTCTGAATGAAGCAGTGAAGTGGTTCACACGTCATCGGTGACGTCACATGAAGCGAGCTCCGGCCCAATGCTTCACCATAACTACCCTATCGAGTTTGAAGCATGCTTTGAAGCTTCGGTGTTAGAGGTAACATCACTACCTCGTGGCGTATCAATGATCCTAAGAAAGGTGAAGAATCAGCCCAGAACTACACAGGAGGAGCTGGTCAATGACCTGAAGAGAGCTGGCACCACTGGTTCCATGGTTACTGTGGGTAATACACTAAGACGTCATAGTTTAAAATCATGCATGGCACGGAAGGTTCCCCTGCTTAAATCAGCACACGTCCAGACCCGTCTTAAGTTTGCCCATGACCATTTGGATGATCCAGAGGAGTCATGGGAGAAAGTTCTGTGGTCACATGAGACCAAAATATAACTTTTGGTCTTAATTCTACTCGCCGTGTTTGGAGGACTAAGAATGACGAGTACCATCCCAAAAACACCATCCCTACTGTGAAGCATGGGGGTGGAAGCATCATGCTTTGGGGGTGTTTTTCTGCACATGGGACAGGACGACTGCACTGTATTAAGGAGAGGATGGCCAGGGCCATGTAGTGAGAGATTTTGGAGAACAACCTCATTCCCTCAGTTAGAACATTGAAGATGGGTCGAGGCTGGGTCTTCCAACATGACAATGACCTGAAGCTCACAGCCAGGAGAACCAAGGAGTGGCTCCGTAAGAAGCACATCAAGGTTCTGGAGTGGCCTAGCCAGTCTCCAGACATAAACCCTATAGAAAATCTTTGGAGGGAGCTCAAACCTGGCTGATCTAGAGAAGATCTGTGTGGAGGAATGGAACAAAATCTCTGCTGCAGTTTGTGCAGACCTGGTGAAAAACTACAGGAAACCTTTGACCTCTGTAACTGCAAACAAAGACTACTGTACCAAATATTAACATTGATTTTCACAGGTGTTCAAATACTTATTTGCAGCAGTAACACACAAATAAATTATTTAAAAAATTTTACATTGTTATTTCTGGATTTTTTGTTTTAGATCATGTCTCTCACAGTGGACATGCACCTAAGATGAAAATTCAGACCCCTCCATGATTTCTAAGTGGGAGAACTTGCAAAGTCGCAGAGTGCTCAAATACTTATTTTCCTCACTGTATATTTTTTAACAATAATATAGTCATGCATCAAGCTATAAAGCTAAATAATTACTATTATAGTGTATCAGAGAAATTAATAAATTAAAATAACATGATGGACTCTGCCATTCCAGTCAGTTTTCTGTTGGGATAAACCACCACAGAACTGAACACACTGTAGGATTAGACATATTAAAGTTAAATGTTGAGCTACCTGTACTCTGGCTCTGACCACATCCATTGGGTTGGTGACGGTGGAGGCAGTGGCAGCAGCTAAAGGTCCGGCCATGGCTTGAAGGACCAGGTGGGGGCAGTCACTGGGAGCCAATTTGGAGAGCTGCTCTGTTGACATTGGACAAGACAAATACTTCATAACTGCCCTCAAAATAATTGAAATAATTAAGTTGTACTTCTACTGTGTGTATAACTAAATCACCCCTTTCTGTTCTGACAAAAGCAATCTGTCTTTTCTGTTTTGACGAGTGCTGAGTATAATTAGATAACGCCTGGGGGGAAACATTCATATTACCTAGATCGTAATGAATATCTATAATATCACAATTATTTAAACAAATTCAGATTTCCCTCACAGTCAATGAGCCTCGTCTGCTACGAGGCTCCCACCTCACACTGTGAAAATCAACTGAAAAGGAAAAACACACTGGTTTAGGAGCTTACCAGCATAAAAGTGGTAGAAAGGCCACCAGACTGCACTGTTTGGGATATAGGTCAGCAAAGAAGCCACATATCCCCTGTAGAATCCCCGGAAGCCATCTGCAGCAAAAATCTGAGTCACAATGTTCCTGGTTTGTCCAAAAACCTTTTTTGCCTTTCCAGCGTCTGAGTCAGTAGTGAGATGAAAGCGAGTGAGGTGCTGCCCTTGGCCCTGCATCATCAGCTGCTGAGACACCACGTCTATGGGTACCGTGATGCTCTGAGCAACCAGGGAAGCAGAGCCCCCTGCCACAAGCGATTTTACTGTATTGTCCTCCGAATACTGGGAAACATATTTCCTCACCAGCTCATAGGTGGTGATGTAAGCCTGGCCCGAGATTAGTGTGAAGGTGTTAACCATAAAGCCGCGGTACAGGCCCCGTACTCCCTCCGTCCGCAGAATCTTGAAGAAGGCGTCAAAAGTGCCACTGTAGAGCGACTTTCCTCTCTGCACTTGCAACCGAGTGCGGATCAGTGTAGCTGGGTAGACGGTGGCCCGGATGGTCATTGTCATAAATATCCCAAAAGAGTAGAACTTCCTTTTATCAAGGTCCTCCCACTCAATGATCTGGATGTTCCTTTTCTGCTGCATCCTGCCAGTTGTAGACGGCCCCTCATCAGACTGTATAACATAACAGAGAGATTATCAAACGTTTAATTTTCTCCTGAGGTAGAAAACTGAGTAATTTAATTCTGGATTATGGTTTACAACTACACTGTTCAGCCACAGTAAAATAATAATAATAATTTAACATTCTCGTGGTCTTCTGACAGCTAACAATATGTATATGATCACAGATGGAGAACTACTGGTGCCACTTTTTAACCAACAGAGCAGATTAAGTTCATTCAAAACCCACTCCTAACAAGTTGAGTAAAAATCAATAAGAAAACAAACACCAATAATTGAATCACTTTTTTAATGTGAGCATCTGCTCAAACTGCAATAAACTGTGTTGTTATGGAAGTAAAGAATTGAATATTTTAACATTACTTTGTAATCATCATGATTAGTTGATTCTATCGGGAGATATACTCAAATGATCATGATTATACATGCATCCATCTTTAATCTGAACATCTCTGAGCATAAAAGCAGGTTAATTTAAAGCTACTTGGGCTGTAATAATTCACTTATCTCTGGTTACAACATGATAAATCAAAGGTCACGGTACGTTGAAGCTAACATTAGTGACCTAAAGAAAACAAGTGGCCTTGGACAACATGGATTCGAGGTGTTTTTGTGATGTTTTCAGTAAAAATGTGTTTTTGTTGAACAGCCCAATATCAAAAACATCTCCTGAGTCCAGAGGACACGGTGTTCCCGAGCCGGTGAAAGAAATGGTCGTGTATTTACCAATGACACTAATTACAATAAAACAGTCGATCATCTAAAAACATTGACGTTTTGTCAAATATATTAGCTTCTACCGGAACATGTTCGCATGACTGGCTAACCGGTGTTCGACTAACAAGAATTAGCATTAGCATTGCTGAAAATAAACAAATTATGACCTACCTTTCCAAAACAAAATTTTATTTATAAGGCCACACTGGATATATTTAGGGTCCTCAAACCAAGTCTTACTGTGATCTGAACCCCTGTAACTCTAGCAAACTTCACTAAATGACGAATAACCTCCTCAGTGGCCTGTTGTCATAGCTCTTCCTGCTCCCATTCAAACGCCATGCTGCCCAGTCAACCAATCACGTGCAAGCGCTCTTCTTCTTCTTCGGTAGTAAGTGGTATCGATAAAGGCGCATTACCGCCACCTTCTGATAATACATTAACTTTGTTCTTAGCTTTTATTCTGATCGTCTGTAGAAGCACGAGCATCGGATTTTGCATTTGCAATGTGCCTAGAATTAAATAGTCTTTTATCTATTATATTTCATGTTCTTTACTGATACATATTTTAACTTGTCAATCGGTCCTCCCGCTAACAGGTGGCGCTGCTGAGCGATATGTTTCCTGACGGGACACCGGTGGACATGCGAGGAAACATCAAACTGAAAGTAGCAGCGGAGCTTCCAGTCTGAGTAACCGTGCGACAAGTTATACGGTTTTATTTCAGGTAACAGTGAAGTAATGCCTAAATACCTGTTGTGCTGGGTTTTAACTACACATAGTTTTATTTCCTCGGTCGTGTGGTTGGTCTTACTAAAAGACTTTACATAGGAAGTGGTCGGTTAGCATGCTAGCATGATGCGATATTGCAGATTCATTCTGGTGCAGCACTTAGCTACAACTGAGATAATCTGTTTTATAGGCTTTATGAAGCCTTTTCTTACATTTATTTGGGTAAAGTTCTGATTTAATACGTTTTTATTAGTGTCTGTGGCATTAGCGATGTTCTGACTGTAATTATAATAAAATTAGTTACTGTTCTTTCCTCCTGATTCCGGCTCTTTAATACAATAAATAACTCGCCTTTTTTGTTTTTCATGACACATCCAGTGACCTGAGAAAATGGTTAGTAGCTGCCTTACATTTATGTCTTGCAACAATTCATAGTATTTTATTTGTATTAACATATCTATCAGTCGTTACTTGTGTATAATTTTGTTTTTGTTTAGTCTCGCAGATATGACTCTAGGACAACCATATTTTCACCTGAAGGCAAGTCTGGTTTTTATTTAATTTAATTCTTAATCACACTAAACTTTGTTAAATGGACTCAACACTTATTGTTTAATAAATAGAACAAGCTTCAACTACAGACAAATTAAATTTGCTATTTGAACTGCATTACAAATCTGAAAACATTTGCAAAGAGAAATGTTGTTACTATTGTTGTTTAGTTGTTTTTTTTAATGATAAAACACTGACGTCAAGCTTCAGTTTGGCAATCTTAGCCTTTGGTCACTCTAATTAGACTTTGTAACATATTATTAACTAATTAAACTAATAAGGTTTTAATTTTGCTTACTAAAAACCAATTGCCTGTAAATTACAGGACGCCTGTATCAGGTGGAGTACGCCATGGAGGCTATCGGTCATGCTGGAACGTGCCTGGGGATTCTGGCCAACGATGGAGTGCTGCTAGCTGCAGAGAGACGCAACATCCACAAACTGCTGGATGAAGTTTTTTTCTCTGAGAAGATCTACAAGCTCAACGAGTGTGTGACTTAGACTATAGCTTTCTGACCGTAAAGTGTTCATTCTTATTTACGGAGAGGGAGGCTAATTTGTTTGTGTTCATCGTTTTAGAGATATGGCGTGCAGTGTTGCTGGGATCACGTCAGATGCAAACGTACTGACAAACGAGCTGCGGCAAATTGCACAGAGGTCAGTGCTACGAGAAGCTCAGCCGACCACTTTTACCAACTTTATTGTTGTTGTTTTCCTTTTTATGTAACCCATATTGACAAATTGAATCACAACAAAGAGTTTTTCCAGTACTGAGTTTTTATTTTCAAATGATCCATCTCAAAAGCTTCAAAATGATACATACGGTAGTTTGTTGAAATGCGGGGATTAATCACCCAGATGACAACAAGCTAGATTTGTTTAAGAGTTGTGGTTTGAAACTCGTTTCACGTATAGCTTCTCAAAATGTGCCATGACGGCTGTGTTCCACTTCTCTTCAGGTATTTATTGCAGTACCAGGAACCAATACCATGTGAGCAGCTGGTGACAACTCTGTGTGACATCAAGCAAGCCTACACACAGTTCGGAGGTTTGATGCCGTCTGCTTCATGTTGCTGGAGGTGTCCATTCTGAGTCAACATGTTGTGGGGCTCACCTGTGATGTTTGTTTTCACAGGTAAGAGACCATTCGGTGTCTCTCTGCTCTACATCGGTTGGGACAAACACTACGGGTTCCAGTTGTACCAGAGTGACCCCAGCGGCAACTATGGAGGCTGGAAAGCAACCTGCATTGGCAACAACAGTGCTGTAAGTTTGTAACAACCTTACACAGGCGATGTGAAATTAAAATGTTTTTGTAGCTCTGATTCTGGAAAGCAGACTTTCTTTTCTGCTGATTGGAGGAAACGGTTACCAAATTTGAGAAATCTCATAAAATTTGGTTTCGTTTTCAATAAAATCGTAGCAGTTTGAGCAAAAGTCAAGTCAATTTTTCAGACTCATTCTTTAGTTCCTTGCTTGTTGTCTGATTTGTGGATGTTTTGGCGTCAGGCTGCAGTCTCCATGTTGAAGCAGGACTACAAAGAGGGGGAGATGACCCTTTCTTCTGCTCTGGCTTTAGCCGTCAAAGTCCTCAACAAAACAATGGATGTCAGCAAGCTCTCAGCGGAGAAAGGTAAGGTTGAAACAATCTTCTGTTTCATCAGAGCCTTTGTTCTGTCAGATAGGAGCTCTAGTAAACTAATATTGCACACATCCGTCTAAAATTTAAAGTAGAATTTAAGATTTTTAGGTGCCCTGATCAAAACATAAACACAAGATCTGTGTTGTGCTGACCCTTACAGTTGAGATCGCCACCTTGACGCGTGAAGATGGAAAAACAAAAATCAAGGTGCTGAAACAGAAGGAGGTCGAGGAACTCATCAAACGTCACGAGGCAGAAGAGGCCAAGGCTGAAAAAGACAAAAAAGAAAAGGAGCAAAAGGAGAAAGACAAATAAGACAGACAAAAAAACAACAATTCCCCAGCTGTTTCATTAATTCCTGTATTGTTTTGTCTTTTACAATAAACTCTGAGAAACTGACCAGTGTGGTCACGTTCGTGTCTTTATCACAAATTCATCTCATTTCACAGAAAACATTACGGCTTGGTGTCATTCTACTTAATTTTAAGATAACTGACTATTATTAAAGGAGAACTCTTAGTTCATTTCAAAATTAAACTATGATTTGAAAATAAAATTTGTTTACTCGTAAATTTAAGTTTACCTCAAGATCAACAAGAATTAATAACTAGAAAATTAGCGTTTCCTGTCGAAATGTAGTGTGAATGTTGCAGAAACCAGTCTGACAAGGTTTCATCCCTAAACTCTTAATGGGAGTTTAATTTGAACATAACGTTTACTGAAAACAGAACAAAATAAACTGAAATATGCAGAGAGATTGAATAGATGACCAAAAAAATCAGAAATTAGCAGAATTACCAAGGATGGCTCAGATGGTAGAGCTGCTGCCTCTCAGCAAGAAGGTTACAGATTAAATCCCGGCTGGGGGGTCATTCTGCTTGAAGTTAGCATGTTCACTACGTGCATGCATGAGTTTCCTCCCACAGACCCAACAACATGCATGTTAGGCTGATTGGTAACTCTAAATTGTCTCTAGGTGTGAGTGAGAGAGTGAATGGTTGTTTGTCTCTGTGTGTCCCTGTGATGGACTGGAGACATGTCCAGGGTGTTGTCCCCCGCCTCTCGCACAGTGACTGCTGGACATGGGCACCAGTGACCCCCGTGACCCAAAAAGGAAGAAGCAGATAAAGATAATAGATGGAATCACTAAAGGGGAAATTAGCAAATGAATAGTAGAAATGAGTTAAAATGAGAAAAAAAAATCTGAAATGAGCAGAAAAATGTAAACAGCTCAAAGAGTTTGAAGGATGTGGAGAGAGCTCCGTTCATTTTCAATGAGAAAAGCAGAATATTTCAAAAAGTAAAATTTGTATATAAATACTAAATGTCTCAGCAGGAATGAGCTGAACATTCTGACATGTGAATAGTTGAAATAACACAACAGCTATTTAATAATAGCTGCGTACCGATCTAAATATGTAGATTGACTTTTGGGAGAAGGGGTAGACTAGATAAGGTTTTTTCTTCAAACTACACCTTTTCATTCAGAACTTTATTTATGTGTGACATATTAATTTTAAACTGTAAATGAAATAATTAAAATGTTGAAGGCAACACTGGTTGAGTCAATAAACGCACTGTTGTGTAAATGAGCAACAATAAGGCAATCAGACAGAAACAAATTTAAATTTGTGACGGACATTTCTTCAAAGAAAATGTCACACAAGAATTTATATTTGTCATTAATCACAATATTTCTCTTTTTTTGTAACAGACCAAATGTTTTCTGCAGCAGTTTAATTTCTGAGTTTTAATGTTCTGTTCCCACCACCTGGTGGTGATACAGCTCACTGTTTAAATGTCCTGATTTGATTTTGGTGTTTGCTTAAAATAGCAGGACTTTATGATCAAAGTGTTTGTTCTCCAAACACAACCATCCCCACAAATACAGGATTACATCAAACGCAGCATCCAATGATATTTCTGTGTCCAAACGGTGGAGAAGGCTCACAGAAGTCAGACACCACGTACGAGAAGTAACTGGGAGTTCATCAGTTTAGACTTTTCAAACATTTGTGCATTTTTTTTCCTAACATCATTTTGTCGGGCGGGGAGCGGGTGTCGATGCGAGCAGCTCCACACCATGTAGGTGGTCAGGGGTGGATTGAAAGCAGCTGCTGCTGCAGGAACATGGCCACTCTGAGGTTAAACTGCGGAGGCTAATTTATGGCCCTCGACCTCGGCGCTGCTCCAGTTCATCTCTTTTCTTCTTATGTTTGAAGCCACCAGAGCAGGTTGTCTGTGTACAAATTACAAAACAGTTTGTTGACAGATTAGAGGAGGACGATGTCTCCAACTCTGAAGTTATTAACAATAAATTACTTCTGATATGCGACACCGTACTGCAACATGAAAACTCAGCTCCCACAGATAATCCGCAGCTTCTTACTGACCATTCGTGTAGTTTGAGCACAAGTTCACACTTTTTCACTTGTTTCTCCAGAACTTCAGTCCATTCTTTTGTCCGGGGTGTAAAAACACCCCTCCTGCTCACTTTGTTTTGACTCTGGCCTCACTGTTCCCAACAGAAGTTACACGTCAAAACACTCTTACACTTACTGTACATAACATTTGTATTAATACTGACATGAGGGGAAAGATTTTGCAGCTACACGTAGATCGCAGCGCTTCGTTCCTTGTTAAATTCATAACAAACATCCAAACAGTACATTAGGACTTAAACGTTGTAAAGGCATTTTATTGCAACTAAACTGTTTTGTTTATTTTTATTATTTGAAGCCAATTTGTGACACGAGTCATTTACAGAGGAGGGTCAAAGTTATGTCATTATTAAGATCAACACGTGCAATTTTGTTGTGAACTTGATGAAAAGAGAGACTGGTTTTTAACAAAAAACAGATTTCTGATACACGAAGGTGGAAGTGAAGGTCATCTGCCTCAGTCAGCCCACACGAATGTTGTTCAGCTGGAGGGAAAAGATAAATGTAACAAATGGTGATTTTTAAGCAATAAATAACATGCAACGTACGCCAGGCAGGAACATCTGGATCCAGGGGTAGACACCAAACACGAGAAAGGAACCAGGAGACGCAGAACATGATTTAAACAAAACTAGAGATGTTGCATTTCCTGCAAAAATGCAGTGTGAATACTTATTGCAGAAGAACTTGCTGAAAAACAGCTGAAATTAGCTGAAATGGAAGAACAAGCCTAAATTAGCAGAAGAAAACAGAAAGGATACATATTTGCTGAATTATGTTTAAATAAGAAGAAATGAGCACAAAGATTAGGAAATTAGATAAAAAGAAAAGCTGAAATTTGCAAATAATAGCTGAAAAGTAGCTGAAAGGGCAGAAAATAAGTTTAAACTACTAGAAGGAAGTGGAAAGAGCTGAAATGAGCTAAAATGTGGAATTAGCTGAAAAGATTAAAATTACCATCAAAAGAGCTAAATAGTAGCTGAAATAGCAGAAAAAGCTGAAAGGAACATAAGCTGAAATTAGCATAAAGAAGTTAATTAGGCTGAAAGTAGTAGAAATGAACATGAAAAGCTTGAATTTACTGTGTCTGAAAACAGCTGAAATTAGCTAAAAGGCTAGCTGAAAAGTTAGAAGAAGCTTAAATTAGCAGAAGAAAGCAGAAAGAACATGTTGCCTAATTAGGCCGAAAGAAGCGGAAATGAGCACAAAAAAAAGTGGCAATTAACTGAAAACAGCTGAAAGTTGCTGAAAAAAGTTTAAATTTGCACAAGAAAGGTGAAAGAAGCCGAACCAGAACCAAATGTGAAAGGAGCAGTAAAAGGTTGTAAACAGATGTAAAGATTTGAAGGATGTAAAATGAGCTCAATTCATTTTCAATTATTAAAAAACTGGCAGAAAAGGCTAAATATTTCAAAAAGCTAAAGATGCACAAATATCAAAAGTCATTGCACCATTCGCCTGAAAGAGCTGAACATTGTAATCTATGATTTGTTGAAATAGTACAAAAATTGTGGAGCAAGGAAGATGCTGAAAAATGTACGGAAGAAAAATGGATCACAACAGAGTGAATGCTTCATAAACATTCCCACAATATAAAAATATAATCACTTAGATTCAAAGGCTAAAACAGCTGCGTAAAACTATTATAGTAAACTAAGTATGAGGTCAATCAAACCAAAGTTCAGGCTTTATTTTCCAGCTGGTTCTATAGAAGAAGCTCGCCAGCTGAAGGTTCTGATCCCGTTCGTTCCTGACATCTCCGCAGCTCGTCTCGTGGTGAATTTAAATTATTTTATTTAATAGTTGCTGCTTCACTCAGCCATATTTTGGGAAAATGAGACCGAAACTTTTCACTGTAAATCCTGAACGTGTGTGGAATCTAAATATTTCAAGCTGTTTTCTGTATGAACGTCACACACCATCACTTGGGCTTTGACTTTAAATGCGCTGTTTGTTTTAAATTGTTTTCATAAAGATATCAACTTCATCACATCTGCATCTGTCCATCTAAAAAGATTCAAACGAGAAACATTAATAAACTGTATGTTGATTTACTACGCCCTTATTTATTTATGTGTCTGCAATGTTTGAGTAGTTCAACCAAAGATTTTTAGGGTTGTGAACTGTCGCTGTATTAAAACTCACAGTCTGTGTGGATTTATTTAATATTAGACCTTTGAAAATGATAAAGAATTTATTTTTGAAGAGTTTTCCCAACAAAAACAGTGATTTTAAATGTTTAAGAGGATGGGAGAGTTTCATATTGTGTGTCGAGGGAGAAAAACGTGACCTGCATATGGAAACTTTATAATTATTACTGATTTAACCAAATGTAATCTAAAAATTAATTCTTTAAATCTCCTTTTTTATGGATTTTGTTCAGCTAAATCACAAGAGTTCATTGGGGTTAAATGATCGTTTTACATAAATAAAGTTAAAGTAAACTGAAAGTATGAGAGCCTAACAGTAAAATATGCTTTGATTAAAACCACAGAGACATGTGAGCTTGATTAACAGTGAAATAAATAAAAAAGAATGAAGTGTTGTGTTACAATATTTGCAGATTATTTTATTAAAGTACCTTTTTGTAACAAATAAGGTTCTCGCTGAGACATATAGTTGATCCTAACAATGCTCCTTATCTAATAATTAGGCAGAAACTTATCAAATAATCAGTCATTTGAGCAAGGATGTGAAAATGTAAAAAATAAATTAATATGTTCCTCATATGTAAACAAGTTTTTTTTCTTTAAAATTTGTTTGGAGTTAAACAGTCAGCTTTTTAATACCATATTTTTCGGAACATAAGGCGCACCGGATTATAGGAGCATCAAGCGAAACAAACAGTCCGATAAGTCAAACTTTATTCAACTCTTTCACAATAACCACATAAAATCAGTTTGAGGTCAGTAAGCACAACCAGAATTAATACATAAGGCGCGCTGTCGATTT